ATAATATGTCTTATTATATAAATAGGCTTGCAAATAAAAACAAATAGGATCTATATATCGCTGATTATAAATAAATACGTCGCTAATTTAATTCGAAATCAGAAACCTGAACCTTAGGTCTGAAACCCCCTAATATATTCTTAATAAAAGCCCACTTGCACATTGGGAAAAGTTCAAAACGAAATGGATGTTTTGATTGGCTTATTTAACTCTGGGGAGAGCATTACAGCATTAAGCGAAATTTAATTTCAAACCTGCATTATTGTGTGATCGATAATGATTTTGTTTAATGGTCGATTTCCTATCTTGTATTCAATTATTGTGCAACGTTGTTTTACACATTCCGTCATTCCGCGTTTAGAAAGTTAAATAATGCTACTAAAGAATAATTCGAAGGAAAGACAAAAGTGCTATCGTTGAAATAGTATATATGAAATTGACGTGAAATTATTTGAACGAGGAGTTAGATAATGGGATGAATTTTAGAGATACAGTATAATCTCGATATAACGAACACTAATTGTGTAACGAAGGTTATTCGACAATTTTTGCCCAATAATGTATACGTATTATGTAAGGGGAAAAGGTTTTATAAATCAAATATTAAACGCTTGAGGTTTTTTTCTTTTTTGACAAAGTTTTTTAAATTCAACACTTAAAATGATGACAAGTTTGAATTTTTAATTTGAAAAAGAAATAAAATATTTTTTAATCCTATGATTAATAGCTATCGGCATTTACCAGACCTTTTTTTTTTTTTTTTACCTCTACTATTCGAGAAAAGTTCATTTACTATTCATAACAACTTTTATTCACGTTTATTATCAAATATATTTTGGTTGTGATTAAGATGCGATGTAACCAATTAATCAATTTAGATATCCTACTTTTATGATAAAAAATTTTTTTTTTTTTTATCATAAAAAAAAACCAGCGTATTTAAAGTAATAAAATGAAGGTAAAATAAACATGCCAGTCGTCTCACTCGTGTCTATTATATACTGTTATACTGTGTTCCAAAGGATGTAAATTTGCAAACTTTTTTTATTTAAATCTTAAAATAAGAAACTTTAAGAATTTTCGACTCAGGAACTTTTAATTGATATTACTCTAAAATATCTGTTTTGATCGAAAGATCCGAGTTGATAAAATAATAGATTTCATTGTTTACGGATATATAACACCGACAATAATCAAAAAGAAAACAAAAGATTAAAGTAAAAATATTAAATTAGTGTCAACATAGAATGAATCGGCATGTATTTATACGGGGTATGTTACTTGTACATGAGACTACATTTGTTAACCGAATAATTTGTGTCCAAACCTTTGTAATTATCATTATAAACCAATTTCCTACTATCGTTATGTAATTCCGAATTTAGAAATTTTGCCGGTTCTCAAACAAGCATGCTTTTACGTACTTATTCATTGATCAATGTATTTATTAAGAATTCAATATCTGATACAGTATTACGAATGTACGTACGTACTGTACATATTGTACATACGTATAGTACGTATATGCGTATATGCGTATCTATGTTTTAAATCAATGAAATGTGTAACATTCAAACTGCGCATAATAAGATTAGCTTACACCATCGAGATTCCAAATTGTTTCCATGCAGCAATTATGTACACAAATATTTATACTTGCATTTATTTTTTGAATAATTTAAGTATAAGCATTCTTTTACAATTATGTATAACTCAATTTATTTTTTTACTGTTTTAGATGCATGTGTTATATTCAGGTAAATCTAGCCTTGTTTGATTATTAATTTATCAATTTTTATGTTGTACTTGTACTGCGAAAAGAATAAATATTCTTTGCACAAAGAATATTTGCCCATTGGTTCGTTTTACCGTTACTATCATTATTATTATTCCTTTTTTAATTTATTGTTTTTATTATGCATAATAAAAAGCCGATGAATCCAGTTAAGTGTCTGTTAAAATTTCTGTTACGAAATTTTTTCAAAAATCTTAATTTTCATTTTCTGGAAAGTTAATACTACTTGGTACTTCGCTATAAAATAATTCTTCAGGAAGAATTAGGAAGTGCACTTTTTGTTCCTATAGTTGTTTATTTCTATCTTAATACTTCACACTCGTTCTTCTTTATCTTTTACACCTAAAATGCAATCCTATCCATCTGCTTACGGTTCAGAAGCTGGTTACTTTCCCCAACAACAATTTGTTAATAATCCTCCACAACAATTTGTTAATAATCCTCCACAACAATTTGTTAATAATCCTCCACAACAATTTGTCAATAATCCTCCACAACAAGTTGTTAATAATCCTCCACAACAAGTTGTTAATAATCCTCCACAACAAGTTGTTAATAATCCTCCACAACAATTTGTTAATAATCCTCCACAACAATTTGCTAATAATCCAATGAATCCTCCACAACAATTTGCTAATAGTCCTATAAATCCTCCTCAACAATTTGTTAATAGTCCTATAAATCCTCCACAACAATTTATTAATAGTCCTATAAATCCTCCACAACAATTTGTTAATAGTCCTATAAATCCTCCACAACAATTTGTTAATAATCCAATTAATCCTCCACAACAATTTGCTGTTTATCCTACAAGTCATCCACAACAATTTGCAACGAGTTCTCCAAAAATGTTTCTTACGAGTCCTCAACAATTTACTAATCAACCTAGGAGTCCTCCATCTGTATATATTAATCAACCGTCAATGCCAAGAAAAAGTCCTGCTCAATTGAAAAAAGAAGAAGAACAAAAGAAACGACTTAAGGAAGAAAGGAAAAAATATCCTTACAGGAATCCTTCTCCTTGTACTAGAAGAAAGTGTATTTTACTTACTGTGGCAAGTCTTGCTAGTTTAATGAATACTGGTGCTACTTTATATTTTTATTTTACTGCTGTATGTATTACAATTTTTTATTACTTTTATATTAATAAATTATTAATAAATTTTCTAATTCTATTTTCTTGTTATAATTAGGCTTTCGCAAATCATGAATTGTCTGGAGGATTATTTATAATTGTATTCCTTTGTGAACTTATTCCTAGAATTATACAAGCCTATCAAGTTTACAGATTTACTAAAAAGACCGTAGGATTTCATATTAGTGATACTATCGGTGTTTTTTTATGTCATATACATTATTATTATTGGATGGGTAAAAATCGAAGAGACTTAACAAGAACAAAATGTACCAAAATTGAGCTTACAGATAATTATATAGGATTAATAAAATTACTCGTTTTAGTTTGTGTAGTTTGTCTTATATCTAGTTCAAAAATTGCTGATAAAATGAAAACTAGTTTATATTATGCAACTGCTTTTCTTTTATTTACTTATGTACTTCTTTTAATTAGATTTTTCGTATTTTTGATAAAGAAAATTGGAAAATGTTGTCGATAATATTTTTGTTCTTTAATGTAAATTTATATAATATATATTGTACCAAAATAAATTAATATATTCACGCTAAACTTGTAATGGAAAAATATACAAGTATTAACAAAAAAATATTATTATTAGAATAAGTTTATATAATTATCTTTTGAAGTATATTTGAAATTACCTAAATTTGTTATATCGAACTCGAATAATTCATTTAAGTCTGCTATTAATTTATCAATTTTACTCAACAGCCACTTATTTACAAACAATTTATTTTAGTTTATTCGATTCATGCAAATTTTTAGGTGGATCAGTGGTGGCAAAAACGATCCTCGGTTCCGTTCCGTGATTTCCGAGCAAAGTATATCCAATAATAACAACTCAGAATATTACACATAAAATTAAGCTATAACTTTCACTGCAAATTATCCGATATCTCATAATCTACAGAATTCTAAATTTGCTGCGCTTTTCAGATTACTGTGATTGCCCATCACACGGAAATTTGAAACTACAGTAACAAGTTATAAATGTTCTTAGCAGAAACTTGGATTTTTGCCATTTTATGATTATCATATGATAGTTATATAACTATTACATGATAAAAATATGATAAAAATATTTTAATAAAAAAATATAATAAATATATGATAAACATATATAAAATGTATTATT